TGGACGATAGTAGTGTGCAAGCTTAGCGCATGATTAATAGGCACAGCGGCATAGCCTGCGTCGGGAAATCGTCAGCCACGATTTGCGCCACTTGTCGATTCCTAAGTGATCTAATGACTTCTAAGTGACGCAATGAAAGGCACTTAACGCGATCTTTACGATCTGTTATAATTACAAACTTCGCGCAAGGTATTGCAAGCTTTAAGTAGCCCGACGTTGTACAAAAAAAATTTAATTGCCGTAATCTGGCGTCATATAATTCATGGAATAAGGCCGTGAACGTATTTATGAGTCACATGCGATATGTTGGCTGTCCGCTACCTTCTTGACGAGGGTAAAATCTGTCGTGTAGCTCTTTACATCTCGCGCACAAATATACAAAGTATCGGCTGCGGCAGCAGTTGTCAGAATCTTCAGTAAAACCGCGTTGACGCGCTGCGCACGCCGAAAAATTATGGTGCCCATAATGAACCGCGCAACGTAGAGAACCGCTCCAAAACCGCTCTCTCAAAACCTCGCCCGCTTCCACGAAGCAATTTCAATTTTCGGCCGCTCGTAAATTTGATCCTTGACAACTCGGAGATCGCGCGATAAGTACATTATGATATTGATAATAGCCGGGTTGCGAAATAACAGGCCGCGCGGATTTTTTCGCGTGTCTCGGAGACGGGCGGTTATTTCTCACGATCTCGTTTCTATCAATTGCGAAGATAATCCGAATACAGCGGTGGAAAATAAAAGTTTCGCTCGCGCCGTGACTGTCGGATGTAAAATTACATCGGCGGTGCTCTCGTGCAATATATCGCGGACTCTCTCGCCCCAGGCACAATAGGCTCGATCGCGCTTGTTCCTTGTAAATCACCCCATAATCGATGAGTTACGATTCACGGTTAATAAATAAAACAAGACTCGACCGGACGTTCGCCCCCTTCGGCGAGTCGGAGCGAGACTGATTATCATTGACGCGGCGCGAGTTTGGTAATTTCAATACACCAGTCCCCCCCCCCCCCCCTCTCTTTCCTCCCCATAATATTACACACATTTTATGCGGCTTTATGTGTGATATATCTTCGCGTTAAGTGGCTAAAAAGTCGATGTGCACGTTCGCGACGATACGTAACTTAAGGCGTTTTAGCGTGTCCGAGAGAGCCGCGAGTGCGGCAATAATGGGTAATAATAAATTGTCGGTCGATCAACAAATCGATAATCGTAACGAGGAATTCATTATTTAAGAATAGGTCCTCCCTACGTGGTCGAAGCGATTAAGTATATCGAGTCTGTCGGGGCGATGGGCTAAGAATGATGAATGAGCATTACAATAAATATCACGCGGTGTACTCCACTTTAGATCAGTCAAATATGCTTGCCGAAATTGGGGACGAGTACACGAGATAATTAAAATCAGATCAAAATGATATTGATCAAAAGATGAAAGAGAGAGAGAGAGAGGGGGGGGAAGATGTGATGGAACTCGAGAAGTATAGAAGCCATAAATCAGAATCGGCGACGCGCGATCTCCCTTCGCTCGAACGAAGGCTTCCTGAAAGCGTATACCTGCTACTGTTCAAATAAATAATCTCAAGACATTTTCAATGCCGCCTTTGAAGGCCAAGATTCCGTAATCCTGATTAATATCCTTAGAATTATGTAGCCTGCGTTTAAAAGATTAACGAATAAGAGTGTCATTGGCTTTAGCCAATCGGCGTATTATTCGCGGCTCCATTATTTTTGTATCATACATTTACAATTACATTGTGCCACGATCGTCTTTAGCCGCGATTGAAACGTCCCGCGCGTATAAAGCGCGAGGTAAGATCTATTTTAGATACAATTTCGCGTTTATAACGCCAAGCTTACAAATCCGCAGGCTTATCTTTTTCTAGGCTATTCAATCGCCAGGTTCAGGCTTCTTCCAATCGTTGTCGGCGGCAAGTAAGACGGATTACCCGGGCAGGAAAGTGACCCGCGATAAAAACAAGTCGCCAGCACCATGCGCCGAGTGCGCGCCGCTTAATACCGTACCGCGTACACAGCAGACGATTTAGAAACGCGGCGGACAGACGGTTCACTCGAACAGCTGGAGCAATCATTTCCGATGACGCGGTTCGATTGAAAGCGGCGTGCTCGCGCGCCGAGAAATCCGCTCGACTGCCAGATGAGGAAGGACTCGCGCTGACTCCGGTACGCGCCGCGAGATTTGCGCACCACGCATTCCCAGTCCTTGCACGCGTAATACGAAAGACCGTAGTGTCAAATAGCGGCGAACGGATCAAACGTTTCTGCCAAGGGGATAACCACTTGATGTAATCGTGGGACAGTGTCTCCGAAATCATAATGAAATCCTTACGAAAACCCCGTGTAATCGTTTCGTCTTAATTTTCAAGTTTCTTCACTTGTTAGACAATAAACGTTCAATTTCAACGTTTTCTCAGCTTATTTTCATTTTCCAAAAAGAAAATTTACTTCTTTCAGTGAATGTCCAAATATACATCATAGTTCACACCTATAAGCGCGTACTCTTTTCATGATAAGACTGAAGTAGTTGGAACAGTAAACAGTAGATACACAGTTGGAAAATTTGTGTTTTCTTGTTGAAAAAAATGCCGGTTAAACGTTTAACGCAATTATGTGTCAATTTGACATATTGCTCTTGTGTTAATTGACCTCAAATGTAAAATAAGAAAAATACGTTTTGTGGAAAATCTAACAGCTCTTTGAGGTTTAACAACGTTACATATTTTTTTATGCGCATACAAGAAAATGATTTGCAATTAGATGAGATTGCAATCAAATAAAGTCGTGTAATCGGTGGAACATTTTAGCTAGTGGTTTGCCCCCTTGGTTTCTGCCTTCCTAGACCGGTCGGGCCTCGCAACAGCGCGCAACGCGCGACGTTCCGCAGATTGAATCGGTATCGAAGTCTACGCGCGCGATATATTGTATTCTTCAAACCCTCCGAGATTTATGCCCCCGGCGTGTTCGCACCTCGTTACCGTTTTGGATAAGAATCTGTTGTTCGACGTGTATTGGCTACGAGAACGTACGTCGAGTACGGTGTACCGAGGGTAACTTGTGGAAACGAGCAGGGCACGTTGTTTATTCACGCCGTGGTTTTGTAGCACGGTCTTACGGTCGCGGGTAACGCGTTACTCGACCTTTCGATAACGATTTCTATCTCGTCCGGTTTGTCTAGTTCATCCGGCCTGGTTCACGCATGAGGAAAGGTAGAAATGACTGGCTATTCAATTCGCCATTCGAACGAGCACGCTGGAAGAACGTTTCGAATATATTAGCAAACTAATAGTCGTCGCGAGCGTTAAGTGATCTGCCGCGGTTAACTGCTACCCTGCTAAAACATTGTGATTACTGTAACTCCGGGCAATTATGTGTAATATTCCATTACCGTTCCACACGCGATAAATGGCAGTCGTGCACTCGACCGACCATGTCGATTGCAAGTTTTTAAGATACCCACGAATATATTTGCCGGTGGGGGATCCCTGACGGGCCGAACATGTCCGGTAGCATTATTCACTTAGACCCGAAGACACTTTTAACCGCGCTGATATTGTTACCGAAATAATGTACGCATTTATCCGCAGAAAAAGATCGAGTTCAGACCGCCGAAAAGTAGGTTCCCCTTGTTAAATTATAATGAGCTCTGATATACGTCCGGTAATCCATCAGCAATGACGGCACACACGATGCTGCCCTCCCCCTGTGTCGTGTCCGCATCCTCATCCCTCGCCTCACTCTTGCCCTTTATCGTATAATCACGGTCCTTCGTGCAGTACTGGACGGTGTGAAAGGTGATTCCCCCTCACGAGAGTATTATTCACTTAGGCCAATTCTTGCAAAAATTCTTGCTCGAGACTTGTAAACGGGTAAAAATGGATCGCGAGCGGCGAGATGAACGTGGGGGCGGAGGAAGGCCGAAGTACAGACGAAGGGAAGTTATTCAAATTCCGCGTGGACGGCGGTTTAATCGCGCCATGTTCGTCACGCAAGCACGTAGACGTTAAATGCACCCGAAATTACATTGGCCGAGCGGGATACGCCATTTTCGCGTGGCCTCACCTCTGTCCGCGGCGGAGGACCAATCGCGGTCGGCAGCTGTAAAAAACGGTACCCGAGAGGTATGCTCGGTGTCGATAAACAAGTGGAGGGAGGGACCCACTTCCGGGGAGGCTACACCTGTTATGCCAATACCGTACAGCGACCACCTATCGCGGACGATATTTCGATTACTAGTCTGGCTGCGTGAAAATTAATAACAGTGTAATAAATAATATATTGCCGTATTATTATCAATATCGCGGGGAAAGAGGGCGCAGACAGAGGGGCGACGAGACCGTAATCACCCTTGGCTCTTTTATGGCTCGAGATAATTATATACAGTGAGAAGAGACTGGAACCACTGCCGTGTCGCGCAATCCTGACCGTATTTTTATGATAACCGCATAATACTTCATTACGTGCGTAAGAAAAAGTATAAGAGGCCTCATTACACCGGGGTCTCGTGTTCTCCTACACCCTGTTCGCGAGACCCAACAAAAATTGATATCATTATTGTTTTGTAGAAGACGGAGCGGGACACGGAGGCCGCAAATAATAATGCCCGTTTCTGTTCTTCGTTCTCGCAACGGTGAATCAGGCGGAACGACAATTCGGTGAGAGGAACAGTCCGGGGTCCATGCGCGATTACGTCGAGTGGCATCGAGCGCGCTCAAGATTGATCGCGGCGATGAATACCGCTGTGATTCGCAGCGACGAGCTAAATACAGGAGAATGAGCCATATAAATCCGCGTCCGCCGCGCGAACGTTCTTGCTGCTTGGTTTGGACCAGCTGGCAGGAGGACGTAACGGAAGGCGCAGTCGGAAATCATTAATGTCCAGCAGCTAAACGTTCGCGCGGTGACTCGCCGCAACGTCTCCGCTCCGTCGCGCCGGTACGACGACATCGTAATTCGCGGGGAAAGAAATTTTGCAGGAACGTTACCGTGGATGTCGTTGACGCATATGTGAAGATCCTCTCGAAAGATAGGCAGGTCGAAGTTACACTGGCACGTGCAGGAGCTATTTGGCACGAGCAGGCTCGAGCTCGAGGAACTCCGGGAGTAAGGGCTGGCCGTGCCGCTGCTAAGCACCGTACAGGCTTCCGTGCAAGAGCCTGCGACAAATTTCAGTTCCAGTAATATACTACGTGCGATTACTTTGGATCGCGCCTGTTAATCTGATGAAAAATTCGAGATTTCGGCTTAAGTAATTGCCTTCAAGTACAACTGTATTTGTAAAATCGCTCGAATACACGTCGATTTGTATTTCAACGTACATTTTAAGCACCTGATACTATCTACTCAACATTATTTGTCGACTGGATCTTACAACTGTATTTTTACCTTGTTCATCCGCAGCTTTAGTTTTTAATTAATACCGTGTTCGTGTCGCGCATTAATATCGTACCATCGTACATCAACGGTCAATTAACCAATCTTTCAAACATCGCTAACTTGCTCGTGTGCCAAACGTGTTTCGCAGGATCCCTCGGTAATGCGAGGCTCTCGAGGACGCGACGTGCAGTCCACGTCGGTTGAAATTCACGTGTTCCCCGATCCTCCAGGACGTGCCGTATAATCCAGCCGAGCAAGGACAGGTCGGACAGCTGTCAAACCGTTACATCGTAATTTCACGGTTAATCCGTTACGAACGTCTTTTTATTTCGCGCAGCGGTTGTGTCACGGTTTCGCACAAAACCGTCCTGGAACACGTTCGGCACTCTCGAATCCATTTTGCTTCCGCGTACCGGAAAATCACTCAGGGGGGGTTTTGCGCCGTATCACCGGCGCGAATCGCGCATTACTCGAATCGGTCCAGCCGAAAATGGAACGCGTCATAATGCCATCATTGCCACAGCGCGTTGCGAGAAATCGCAAATAGATATTAAGGTCTCGAGGGAAAAAAACGCGACGCACGAGTGAAAATCCTATTTGAAGGAAACGTTTGCGCTACTGCGTTTTCAACGAGATGACTCTCGGCCGTCGTACCTCGAGTCTCTCTGCGGATTAACGGGAGCGAGAAGAAAATACAATGCCAATTTGAAACAGTGCAAAATATATTTACCCTCGATGGTAAAAATGTCTCCATCGGAGTGCCGGATGACCGATAGTTCCTGGCAGCGTACGACGACTTGCAGGAGGTTGAAGCTCGTGAGAACGAGGGCTAGAGAACGCATCTTCCCCACAGCATTCTGCAACGCACAATAGATGTAGGTCGTAAATAATCGATGGGAGAGTTTTACGGCGTTTCGTTAACTGCGTCAAACGAGCGCGCTCGTTCGGCACGGCCGATAAGTCATTGAAAATCCCGTGAATTAACGGCTGCTTAATTCCGCGACATTACGCAAGAGACTTCCGGCAGATGCCCATTTATGGCACCTTGCCCGTCGCTCTCGGTCCCCGCTAAACACTGCGTCTGCATCTGTACGCGCTTGTCGGAGAAATATTAGCACGCGCATCATTTATCAGAAACGTATTGCTACATTAGCAATACATTATCAGATAAATAAATTTAGAGATACGTAATATCAACGTAGAAAAATGCTCGACGACCCATGGCTCGCAAATTCTAATTAAAGAAATTCGTTGCGAAAAATATTACCTCAGCCAGAGTTTGAACCTGGACCTCCCTACGCTCTAGGCGGGCGCGTCTCACCAATTCGACCACCGAGGCACGTGATAATATTTATCGCAATAAACAGCACTACTGGTGACATCTTCGCGTTTATTTTTCTGCTAGAACTGCGCGCCATGGGTCGCCAAGCAATTTTCTACATTGGTTAATCAATTACTGGCGTTACATAATTCTTTACGATACGTAATATCTTTGAAAAACCACACCTTTTGCTATGATAATAAATTGATTCTCGTTGAAAATGACCACAATCCGGATAGTCACAATGTTGGATGTACTTTTTTAAATAAATAATATACAGGGTGTTCCAGGAGGAAAGGTCAATGTTCTGGGAGGTGATAGTATCGGTCATTTTCAGCAAAAAGGATCATATGAATGTATGTCCAATTCCTTACCGTTTCCGAGATAGAGCTATTTGAGTACAGTTGCAAAATTACTGACAAGAAAAAAATCCTACGTACTATTTTTAATATTCATTGTTCAAATGATACATTTTCGACAGATCATAATAAATTTTCAAAGATTCTTCAACAGCAGCAGTAGCACTACCATCACAGAAACCGTAAACCTACAGCATATCTGCATATTCGACATTTGTGAATATGCGAGGCATTTTGCACATTTCTACAACGTTATCAGTCAGCACAACAGTCACCAGACGTATAAGAGTAAATTTCCGCAGACGTTTACGAGGGTGGATGACGGGTGAAGTGTACAGAAGAAAAGTGTACTGAAAAAAAATCTGATAGATTCAACCAGTCGTCTGTTAGAAAATGGACGAATCAGAATTCCTTTAGGATTTACTACAATTCCTTTAGGAATTATTTACCATGAAGGATATTTCATAACCAGAAGTTTGCTCGACTTCACTACACATCTGGTAAATCCTAAAGGAATTCTGATTCGTCCATTTTCTAACAGACGACTGGTTGAATCTATCAGATTTTTTTTCAGTGTGAATACACGAGATATTCAAGTAGCTCTATCTCGGAAACAGTGGGGAATGGGACATATATTCATATGAACATTCTTGCTCAAAATGACCGATACTATCACCTCCCAGAATATTGACCTTTCCTCCTGGAACACCCTGTATACTATCTTATAAATTAATTCTGTCTACGCTCGCGACAGATAGATCCTTCTTGCATATTTGCGTTGCACGAATCGTGTCTTAAGCGATGTGGAAGCAGAAACGCACGAGCATAGGCCGAGGATTTAAAGGATGCGGATGCTAATTTAGTCATTATAAAGTAATCATCCTAAATTTGCTGGTGCACAACCGGTTGGCGAGTGTTATGATTGCGTTAAGTGAAATCGCAATTAACCCTGGGATCTTGGTACACCGAGAGGCTCGACTCGACAGCCTTCGATGTCTCCCTTCTGCTTATTGCATATCATAATCGACACTGGTATCGTGCGTGATTTGCAAGAAATTTACGAGGCACGAATCGCTCTCTTCGTCTTCCGATAACCGTTCAGTCGCGCGATTAATCGCCAGAATGTTGTACCGGTTATCGGTTTATCGGGACACTCGAGCACAGTGACTACCGACTTTTTATCATTTCTGTCAAATTGTATTAATCGCAGGAATGAATCACAACTGGGCAGATGAATTGGATTGATTATAATCTCGCTTCTCGCGTGATAAATAGCCGTTCGGTCATCATACCTCTCCGAATAATTCCATCAGTATTCGACGACAGGCGCAACCGTAATTTCGGAAATCCTGCCATACAAGAGAAAGACGGATACCGTATATTTCTGTCTGACCGAAAAGAGGAGGCGCGAGCGTTGTTACGGATCAAAAGCCCGTTATTAACATGCCGTCCGAGCTCTTGCTTAAAGTACTGAGATATTTGGCTTAATTACGGCGTTTATTATAAGTAGAGGGGTTTGCACCCTTAAGTATAAATCTTCCACGCAAATTATGTTAAAGAGGTGTGATGACAGCATAGATACACATAATCCCGTCAAGTTTCGTTACGCATCGGATTTTACGTAGCGTCGCTTCATTAGAATTCCATAAACCCGCAAACGAAATGGGAGACTCCATTTTTTTGCCCAATAATTGTACACATCGCGGCCGTTTGTCTTTAAGAAATTTAATAAGCGTTGCAAATGACTAGTTACTCGTCCGTGTAATCATCCTTTCGCAATAATCTTCTCGCTAAAGGAATCTCCACGGCAGGTGCTGGAAATTGCGCTATCGCGATTATATTAATCGGTCGATGAGTTGCATTCGGAGTCTGATTATTGAATCTCGGCGCGCGTAGGCCACGTAAATGCTGACAAGCGCGCGGTAATTACAGTGCGAATTCCCCGCGGAATCGCGTTAATAATTATTTACGGCGGGACCTCTCTGAGACGCATCTCTCACATCGCACTCGCAACTGGACTGCACTTTGATTAAATTTCCTCCCCTGTGCGCTCGTCTTGTAATTACTTTGACGTATGCTTAAAAGCCTCTCAGTCGTCGAAAAAGGCGGCGAAGGCAGCCGAGAGAAAGTGTAGCCGTAACGCCAGAAAAGTCCTCTCTTTTTTTCGTCAGACAGATAAACGAGCCACGCTGTACACGCAGGGATCAGTTGGGCGGACATTAAGACGAGACGAGCCTATAAAATATTTCAAGGGAGCGCGATAAGAGGTGCGTGTGTTAAATTAAGAATTCACGGTCTGTGATCAAGTGCCTCAATAAAAAAACGGCATAACTCGTCACGAAATTCAATTGCTAGGAGGAAAGCGCCGTTCACATTAGAGTTTCTTGGTAACTTGACTCGAGGCGAACGGACGACAAGTCTCTTTCTCTCCTTCTCTTTCTCTCGAGATTTCCTCGGGATCGTTGAACGAATGCGTTAGACAGATACTTGGAAAGGAGAATTCGGCGGGTCTCGTAGTCCCTGATAAACTAACCGGCGAACCGCGCGGCCATAAATCTCTTTTACGAATGATCGTAAATGCCAATGCGCTTCTTAATTATGCGCGACACGTCAACGGCGATATTATCTCGGGAATCGTATGCACGGCCAAAGTAAACACGGATTTTGCAATTATTGCTCTATAATGAGATGCTAATATCTTACTTTGATGACTGCCGAATTTATTACCGATACCGTATAACACGTCGAAATGTTCACGCTGAATCTAATAAGAGAATAAGAAGCGCTAGCTCGGCTGTCGTTTCAATTATATGCGTTTATTATCTGTCTATTATTGGCAAATTACTTCATTATCATCTCACAGGTGTCAACTCGACTGTCGTTATTTATCCCCTAATTCTATAAGAAAATAAATTGCTATCCTCGAAGAATAATTTAACGAGCGCTTCGATATCGAGAATTAATTGCGCGTGCGGTTACAAATCTGCAAATGTATAGATAACGTATAAACGTATTGATATTCTACTTTGCAGAACATACAATCCTTTACAATTGGAGTTTTCGTTAATGAGAAAAATACATACTTAAATAATATTGAGTGAGTTAATAAACAAACTGTTTTAATTGTTTAGTGGCCGATTTAAATAAATCTATTAACAGAGGCTAATGGTTCGTGACGCTTTAATCTTCTCGTGTCTGAACTTCCCGACAATAGCCTTGTTGCTAGTTGGTTTAGGTGCGAGTTCAATCTCCAAACGTACCTCCCAGTATGAGCTGCTATTGTACAGTACATTATAGAATCACAAATTTCTAATTGTGGGCGTAAGAGGCATATTCTACTGAGAATGTACCTGCGCGTTCTTTAATACTTTATTCGATTTACTTAATGTCAGTAACAGATTGTAAATACACTGGGAGGTAGTGTATAAATATAAAACTTCCAAGTCACGTTATACAAAATTAATAATACACGTGACAGATCGCGAGACGTGGGAGGGTCGCAATCGTGCCGGAAGGTCGTCGTAGCAGGAAGTGTAACGCAACCACCGTACCCCTTCATAATCCGCCGGCACCTGCACCAGATGCACATCCAACTTTGCCCCGGCGTTCCGCACGTTGCGGCGCAGCACGTGTTATCTTACGCGTGCCATCGGCCCGATTGTGCATAACGTTCAGCTCGCTGCCCGCCGGTGTTTCTTGCTCTATTGGCCCAATCGCACGCGCCGACGGTGCAATTTATATCGTTGCGCGCGCGAGACGTAACGATGTTTCCTAAGCTCGCATTATGCCCGACGCGAAGATCCGACGTGCGCGATATAATGCCTGCGGTCGCCGAACGGTGTCTTTACCGGAGCACACGTGAGCTATCCTGAATTTCTTTCGACCGCTCTCGCGCGAGCATCCCCGCTGCGTGATATCGGGTCCACGTCGCGTTTCCGTCTTCGTGTTCATCAGTCAGCGGCACGGTGTGTCGCGGTAGCACTAATCTACCGAGACGACGTCACACAGAACGAGGAATTGCAGCCTTCATGTAAAAAAGATTGCAAAAGCCAGATGGACGGCGTAACGATACCCGACAATGTTATAACAGCGACTCGATTATCTTTCCTTGGTACCAAAAGAAACGACAGACTTATAAAGACTTATAATATTATAGAACGTCACGTTATTCGGGGCG